TTTGCAGACATCTGTGCATTGTGAAGTGAAACTGATTGTGCTGTAAAGTCTATGGGGCTGGCTCAGGGTGTAAAGCTGTGTGGGTGGGTGTAAAGTGTAAAGTCATATACAACGATACTGAAGTTCTTTTCCATTTTCCAAAGTATATTATTGTTATTATTGACTGAGAGGTACAGTTTACATTGGTCTTGTAATGGGCTGCCGTTCTCCTCTTCTGATTGGGCTCCGTGAATCTGCCAGTGGTGAGCCCCCACCTCTAGAACCAGTACAGAGGCAGAAGGATGGGGGTTCAATGTCTGAGTCCGCTTCAGCTTTCTGTGAAGAGAAATTCCCACCCTTGGTGTTAAAGAGACTATCACTGGTTTCACATAATCATGAACCATACAAATATTGTTGCATGGTTCCCCCAGTAACACTTATGTAATGTAATGCAGGTCTTATGATATCATAACAGTAGGTTTTTGGGTGAATTTGCAGGGAGTTAGGGAATGCTTCTTTGTTCAAGTCCCCAGCAGAACCTTGACTGCCCTCCTACATCAAATATTTGAAAACATTTAAGTGGGGTCCACTCTCTATTCTGATTCATGGAGACCATATTATTCTAGTGAACTAGAGGAGAGAGGATTCAACCACTTCAAGGTCAATCATAAGTGCCACTTTATCAACCGGGGGACAGGACTGCATACCAAAATGTTAAGAGACTATGGGGGCATTTTGAAATAGAGGAACAACTGAGAATGAGAGATCAAATACTTTATATAGAGCCATAGTTTGTGGAGTTCATGTGGAGCCAGAAAACAACACAAGTATGATCACATGCTCTCTAATGTACTTTGCACTATCACAAAATACTGGCCTCCTGAAAGACACAACTAATTTTTATTCTGACATATGTTCAGATATGAAGTACATTGATAAGTTATTAAATAAATACATTGCTTTTTCATTTCCTTTCTCCTGATGAGTGCCTTTTTTCCTCACAGAACACTAAGGCTTTGGCTCCCAAATAATGAAAAAGTACTGATACTGATTCTCCTGTTTATTGAGTGGTTGTGATTGACCTCAGAATTCTAAGAGCGATTGCTAAAGATCTGTAATGATCTTGTGTGTAAATCAACTTTTATGTTAAAGCTGAACTCCAGGGGAAATAAAAATGCTTCCTTGCAGTGGGGCTGCCCTGCAAAGTGTAAAATGCTCAATAACTCCAAGGGAACAAGAAAAGCACTTTTACTTATGCCACTGGAGCACAGGGAAGCACTAGCTGCTGTGGGATCAAGTAAGTAAAACTGCTTTTAGCCCTAGACATAAATTAGCATTTAACCTTGCAGTGTGGGGACAGCCCTACTGCATGGGAGGATGTTTATCCTCCATGGAGTTTGGCTTTATGGACATTTAGCTTTGGCATAATAGTCATAGGAAGTAAGTTGCAACAGTTTTTTCTACTCTGAGCCACACCATTTATTTATTTTTTTTTTATGAACATTGGTATTGATTGATCAATAGATAACTTACTGAAAATATTAGATAAACAGAAACAATGCTGAAGGCATGACAGCAGCTCAAAAGGGAGGGTACAAGTTGAAATACTCATCATGGCCTCATGGAAAGCAGAACATTATTTTCAAATACTGTTTTATACTGTAGTAATATTGATCAGTGGACCCCCAGGACACGGAAGATGCTATGATTTTTAAATTTAGAATGCATGTCCTGCTAATTGGACACAGGGCTTGCAGTACTGCAAACAGAACTGACCCAGGAGACCTGTTCTACTATTGTGAGCCACTCTTTCACTTCAGTGTATACTATGATATGTAGATCACCTCTAGGCGAGGATACGTATAGTCATTGCTGATTATTTGGTCTGTTCACTTCTTTTGGAAGGTTTTTATGGATAGCATTTTGTAAACTAATTAAAGCTTGGTAACCTCAGGCAACTTATTCTAAAGCCAGTCAGGCTTTTCAGCAATATGTCAATACTAAGTCAGTTTCCTATGCAATGATTACAGTTAAGCTGATTAACAGCAGAATGATTGGTTAATTATGTGTTAATAAGAGAAACTTTGAAAACCTGGACCACTGGTGACCACTGAGGATCAGAATGTAGACCAAGCAGTCGCTTGTGAACATTGTTCTTTTAGAAAAGTGAGCAGTTAAATGTACAAGATTTTATTATAATATTAAAGTGTATCTAAACTCAGGACAAACATTTATTATATTGCAGATTATCAATCCTTAGATTAGTTGGCTGCATTTCTTTAATTTCACCTTTTTTTCTACTTGTACCACATTTTCTGTCCTAGGGTGACAATGCTTACTTACTATATTATATCTATGGAAGAGCAGAGTGGTCACCTGTCAGGGCTCCCAGGTATGACCAGAGGTATGTGACTGACGCAGGGAAACGCAGACTTCAGATATGTTTATAAACAATGTAATTTATTAACACTAACCATACAAACATAAACGCAGTGCAATACTAAAACATAACACAGTGCAAACAAACCAAACCAACCACCCACAGATAACAGTACATACAATGCAAGCGTCGTCAGGCAGGCTGGGTCAATATCAATCGGGCAGGTAGGTACATGGGGAGCAAGCGGAGAATAGTTGGGGTCACAAGCCAGGTTCAGCAGGTAGCGGGCAGCAGGGTACAGAGGGTCAGGCAGAGGAGAATGGTCAGACAAGCCAGGGATCAGGAGCAGGAGACATGGTCAGACAAGCCAGGGATCAGAGCAGGGTCAGCAGGGAATCAGACAGGAACAGGGAGCAGGAACAGGATACAGGGCCCAGGAGAAACACACACCAAGGCAGAGTCTGCAGGTCTGAATGTCCCTTAAATACACCAGTATAATTAGTTCCAGGTGTTTGACTGGCTGCAAGGTTGAGTTTCTGATTGCTGGGAGCACCCGCTGGCCAGCCCTGGTACTGCAGCTCATAATGGCAGGTGAGTCCCACTATTGCTGGCCAGTCCATTCCTGACAGTACCCCCCCCCCTCAAGGAGCGGCCTCAGGGACGCTCCAAACAGACCTAGCTGGGCAAAATGTTCCACCGCCCGGGTCTGGTAACTGGCGGGATATCAAAGACTGGCACACAACGGGCAGGACTACGGGCAGCGGCACACCGGGCAGGACTCCGGGCAGTGGCACACACCGGGCAGAGTGCACACCGGGCAGAGGCACACCGGGCAGAGGCACAACGGGCAGAGGCACATCGGGCTGGACTCCGGGCAGAGGCACATCGGGCTGGACTCCGGGCAGAGGCACATCAGGCTGGACTCCGGGCAGAGGCACCATCGGGCTGGACTCCGGGCAGAGGCACATCGGGCTGGACTCCGGGCAGAGGCACATCGGATTAACAGTTTAGCGGCGAAGCAGCAGGCACCGGGCGGGCCACCGGGCGGAGCAGCAGGCTGGCGGTCTGGTAACTGGCGGGATATCAAAGACTGGCACACCGGGCAGGACTACGGGCAGCGACAGGCACACCGGGCAGGACTCCGGGCAGCGGCACACCGGGCAGGGGCACACCGGGCAGAGGCACACGGGCAGAGGCACACCGGGCAGGGCACACCGGGCGGAGGCCACATCGGGCACGGGCACTCCCGAGGGGCACATCGGGCTGGACTCTCCGGGCAGAGGACCATCGGGCTGGACTCCGGGCAGAGGCACATCGGGCTGGACTCCGGGCAGAGGCACATCGGGCTGGACTCCCCAGGGCAGAGGCACATCGGGCTGGACTCCAGGCGGGGCGAGAGGCACATCGGGCTGGACTCCGGGCAGAGGGCACATCGGGCTGGACTCCGGGCAGAGGCACATCGGATTACCAGGCGAGCGAAGCAGCAGGCAGCGGGCCCCCGGCAGCAGGCAGGCGAGGGCGGAGCAGCAGGCAGCGGGCCACCAGGCGGAGCGAGACAGGCACCGGGCCCCCAGGCGGGGCACAGGCATCGGGGCCCCCAGGCGGAGCGAGGGCATCGGCCCCCAGGTGGAGCGGCTGGGCAGCCGCCCCCAGGCGGACAGGCCGGGCCCCCAGGCGGAGGCGACAGGCACTCGGGCCCCCAGGCGGGGCGACAGGCATCCGGGCCCCCAGGCGGGGCGACAGGCATCGGGCCCCCAGGCGGGCGACAGGCATCGGGCCCCCAGGTCGGGCGACAGGCATCGGGTCCCCAGGGCGGCGGCGACAGGCATCGGGCCCCCAGGCGGGGCGACAGGCATCGGGCCTCCAGGGGAGCGGCGGCGCCGGACCCCCAGGCGAGCGACAGGTCTCAGGGCCCCCAGCGGGGGAAGGCATGGCGGGCGCTGGACCCCCAGGCGGAGCGGCGGGCGCCGGACCCCCAGTCTGGCAAGACTCTCTCGGGCCCCCGGATCGACGCAAGACTGGCGGGCGGCCGGACCCGAGGCGGAGCTGACAAGGGACTCGGGCACCCGTCTGGCAAGAGCGGCGGGCACCGAGTCAACTGGCGGAACAGGCGGGCACCGAGGTCGTCTGGCAAGAACTGCGGGCACCGAGTCATCTGGCAAGACTGCGGGCACCGAGTCGTTCTGGCAAGACTTGCGGGCACCGAGTCGTCTGGCAAGACTGCGGGCACCGAGTCGTCTGGCAAGACTGCGTGCGGGCACCGAGTCATCTGGCGGAACAGCGGACATCGAGTCAACTGGCGGAACAGCGGGCACCGAGTCGTCTGGCAACGGACTGAGCGGGCACCGAGTCGTCTGGCAAGGACTGCGGGCACCGAGTCGTCTGGCGGAACAGCGGGCACCGAGTCGTCTGGCAAGACTGCTGGCACCGAATCACCAGGCACGACAGTGGGCTTCGACTCAATTGGCTGGACAGCGGGCACCGGGTCACAGGTACCCAGATTGTACTTGGCTCGACAGCTGGGCCCATCGGGTCACCAGGTATGACAGCGGGCACGGGTCACCAGGCATCAGGTCATTTGGCTTCGGCCAGCGGGCACCGCGTCATCTGGCAATGGCAGTGGGCACGGGTCACCAGGAGATCGTCTGTCTCGGCAGGGGCACATCGGGTCACCAGATATGACAGCGGGCACTGGGTCACCAGGCATCAGGTCATTTGGCTCGCCAGCGGGCACCGCGTCATCTGGCAAGGCAGTGGGCACCGAGTCACCAGGCACGACAGCGGGTCTGAGTCAACTGGCATGACAAAGCGGGGCACCGGGTCATCAGGTACCGGATTGTCTGGCTCGACAGTGGGCATCGGGTCACCAGGTATGACAGCGGGCACTGGGTCACCAGGCATCAGGTCATTTGGCTCGCCAGCGGGCACCGCGTCATCTGGCAAGGCAGTGGGCACCGAGTCACCAGGTACGACAGCGGGCTCTGAGTCAATTGGCACGACAAGCGGGCACCGGATCAGGTACCTGATTTCTGGATCAACAGCGGGCATCGAGTCAACTGGCCTAATAGGATCGTCAGGCTGGATCAGTTCATCATGCTGAGGTAGAGGCATCAGGCTGAATGCAGGCATCAGGCTGAGTAAGAGGCATCAGGCTGAGTAGAGGAGGCATCAGGCTGAGTAGAGGCATCAGGCTGAGTATGAGGCTTCAGGCTGAAGTAGAGGCATCAGGCTGAGTAGAGGCATCAGGCTGAGTAGAGGCATCAGGCCTGAGTAGAGGCATCAGGGCTGAGTAGAGGCATCAGGCAGTCAGGCTGAGCGTAACAGAGGCATCAGGCTGAAGTAGAGGCATCAGGCTGAGTACAGGCATCAGGCTGAGTACAGGCATCAGGCTGAGTAGAGGATTCAGGCTGAGTAGAGGCTTCAGGCTAGTAACCACGTAAGGCAGGTTCACCGTTTTGGATACTGGGCAGGATGGTGAATTGGTTGGAAAGAGTTTTTTCGCTTATTTTTCTGGTTTTAACTACTGAGCACTGCAAGTAAACGCAGGTCTGCAAACGAATGGAGCAGCTGGAGACAATAAAAACAGAGAAGAGGGCTGGAGGAATGCAAAACAGGGGAGGGAGCAGTTGCTACACAGAGGGCTTTTTACAGGGTTAAAGGCAGGATAGGTGCAGCGAGTGGGACAAAGTAGGGTACTGACATGCGGTAGATAGCAGGGCAGGAGGAGCTGTTGGGAATGCAGGAATAGAGCTTTGAGGAAATAGATTAGAAGGCAGGACTGGGTTCTATATTTGTAAAGCTGACTGACGGCTGGGTGCAACAAACTCTGTCCATGAGTCTGCAGTATGGGTTGAACAACAAGGCAGAGCTTGAACACAAAGCCTCGTCTGACTAAAGACTGTGCACTACACTGCGTTTATACAATCCTTAGGTATCTGTGGTTTGAACATGCAGCATAATGCTTCCAAGACGCAACTCGCACATCCTCCTCTTAATTTTAACCCTACCAAGGGGGTTTCCTGGTCTGGGGACTCAAATGGGGGCAAAAATTCATCCCGGGAAATTTAGGGGGTACCGATGAAAACCAAAATCCCCCACAAATCTTTAATAATGGCTGCCCCTAGAAATTCTGTGCCCGATCTTCTTTGAAAAATGAGCGGGGGCCGTATACCCTTCTAGCCCGTTTATCCCGGGGGAATCCCCCTTAAAAGTTTGATAAGCAAAACCCTTTTTGGCATTTTAAACATAAAAGATATAAATACACAAACCCCAACAAAATCCCTCCCTTCCCAAACAACAATAACCCAAAATGGGCCTTTTCCTGTGAGACTTTGGTTTAGGCCCGGCTTTGGGGTAATGTTCCCGGGTCCCGGGGGTTGGTTGGACCAGAGGGTTGTTTTTGACTGACGGGAAAGGGGGAAATGCAGGACTTCAGATAAGTTATAAAACAAATTTAAATTTAACCCCTAACAATCCCAAACATAAACGCAGTTTTCAATACCCAAAACATAACACAGTTTCCCAAACCCAAACCAAACCCCCAAACCCCCCACAATAACAGTTCCCTACAATTTCCCAAACGTCGGTTTAAAGGGGGGGAAGGGGGGGGTCCAAAATTTAATCGGGCAGGTGGTTTCCGGGGGGAAACAAAGCGGGGAGGAATAGTCCCCGGAAATAAAAAGCCCGGTTTGCAGGGAGGGGGGGGCCCGCGGGGGGTACAGAGGGGGGGCAAACAGGGGATGGTCAGACAAGGGCCCCGGGTCAGGAGCCCGGGAGTGGTCAGGGGAAAAAGCCCGGGAACAGAGCGGGTTTAGCAACGAAAACCCCCCCGGAACAGGAAAAAGGGAGCAGGGAAAACAGGGGCCCCCGGGGGTACAGGATAAGGGCCAGGGAAAAACACACACCAAGGCAGGTCGCAGGTTTGGCCCAAACCCTTTAAAAACACCCGTATAATTAGTTCGGTGTTTTTTAAAAAGGCTGGCCAAAAGGGTTTAGTCTTGATTGCTGGGAGACCCGTGGCCCCCCCCTGGTACTGCGCAATATAAAGGGAGGTGAAAATCCCACTATTGGTGGCCCGGCCCCCTGGGCAGGCAAGGGGTTTGAGGGGTTTTGGGGAAGGCCCTTTTTCTTTTTTAAATTTTCTTCACACCCCGGGGATTGGGAAAACGGTGTGCAGCCCATACTTCTAGGGTTAAAAAGTTATTTCCCGGGTTTGTTTGGGGGTTTTTTTCCAAACCCCAAACCCGAGCAAACTTTCCCCAAATTTAAGTTTTTTTAAGGTGGGGAAGGGGATAAAAAGGGTTTCCCCAATTAGGTTTTCAAGATGATTTTAAAGGGTTTTCAAAATTTTTAAAGTGGGGCTTTAAAAGTTTTGAAAGCATGTTTCACAAAAATTTTTGTTTTATTTACGCTTCAAAAGTAATTTTTGTGCGAAAGGCCCGTGGATAGTATATTGGCTTACCCTTTCAAAATACTCCACTAAGGAAGGGGGAAAAAGTCCCAAGGGGGTTGGGGGGGGGGGAGGCAAAAGGGGGGACTCAAAAGGATTTTTCCCCCCAAAAAGATCCCCAGTACTGATGGAGGGCAAAGGGGGACTTCCGTGAAACAGGGCAGTAAGAGGTTTGGGGGAAAAGTAAAAATTGGGGGGGGGGTATCTCACTGACAAAAAAATGGCGTTTTTTCAAGGAAGATGAAGGGACTTTTCTGCTGCCGGGTGGAGATCCCAAAGGGGCCCTTTTAAAAGACCTGAAGGAAAAAAGTTCAAACTGGGGGTTGAAGTGGTATTTATGTTAATACTTTTACTGCAAAAAAACTGGGGCCCGGTCCCCAAAATTTAAGTTTATTTTAAAAGTGTTACCCAAAACCCAAAAACAGTAAAATCAGTCTAAAAAAATATCAAAGTGACAAAAAAAAAAATCATGTGGGGGTAAAAAAAGCAATGGGGTCCCTTTGGGCCCCACAAAGAAACCCCGGGCTTGTGTTCAATTTTTTAAGGGAGGTGTTTTGAAAAACCCAAAGAAACAGTCCCCCCTTTCTATGCAAGCCCCCAAAAGCTATTGGTTTTAGTTGAATTTATACTGATCCCCAAATTTGAGATCGGGAATCTTTTTAAACCCAAAAGGAAATTTTTTCCTAAGGAAAAAAAGCTCAACCAAAGGGGCCCAAAAAAAAATCAATAAATAGTGTGAAATTTTTTTAAAATTTGATTAAAAAAAAAATCCCCGTAGGACTGGGAAAAACAAAGTGTAAACACCCCATTTCCAAATTTGGGTGCCGCTCCTTTGGGCAATTTGGATGTGGCCCCGCGTGACGTCAGCCCCCTGGGGTTACCCCAACCCCCAAAAAGGTGGGTTTACCCCCATTTACTTTTTTTTTTTCACTTTGATATTTTTTTGGGATGAATTTATATTTGTTCCCTCACCAACCCCTTAGTTTATATTGACCCATTTTTGCATTTTATGTTTGGGGAAATTTACATTTCCAAAATTTTAAAAATGGTGATATATTTTTTCCCTTAATTATTTTTTTTATTAGCACTTTTTATGTACAGTAATCTAGAAAATAAATTTCCCGCGCCTTTAAACCTTTTTTGGGCAATTTTTTTTTATGTTCCCCGCCTTATTCCAAAAAAAATTAATTTTTAAAATTTATTTTTTTTCCCCCCAAAGTTTTACCAAAAAAAATTTCCCCCCCCCAAGACATGTGGAAAAGAGTTTGTTTTTTTAAAAAATTTTTTCCCTTTTATTAAAAATTTTAAAAAAAATGAAAAAAACCCCCCAAAAGTAAGTAAGTATTTTAAAAAGCCTTTTCCAAAAACCCCCCCAAAAAATTTAGGCCAAAGGTTTTAAATTTTGTTCCCAAAGGCATCCTTCAAAAAGTTTTTAACAAATTGATTGGAGTCCACCCGTGGGAAATTCCGTTTAAAAAGGACTGATTTGGAAAAGGCAAAAAACCCTTTTTCTAAAATAAGGTCCCAAGTTAATGTGAAAGAAAATTTGTTTTTTTAAAACTTTTCAAATTTATTAAAAAAAAAAAAAAACAAAAAATAAACCCCATTTTCAAAAAGTATTCACAAACCCTTTTCTTCCCTTTCTTTGTTGAAGCACCTTTACACCAATTACCCCCCCAAGTTTATTTTTTTAGGATGATTTTCACCAGGCCCGGCACACCTTTTTTGAGGGAATTTCCCCTTTTTCTTTTTCTGGTACCCTCAAGCTCCATAGGTTGGATGGGGGGCGTCGGGGGGCACAAACCAATTTTTTAGTTTTCTCCCGAGATGGCAAACGGGGGTTCAAGTTTGGGGGACCCGGCTGGGGGCCCCTCCCATAGCCACCCTTTGTTTATTTGGGCTATGTGTTAGGGTGTTTCCCGGGTTTTGAAAGTGAACCCCTCGCTTCCCAAATCTAAGGTCCAGGCATCGGGAAAAGGGGTTTTTTTTTTATCCAAAGGGAAAGTCTCTGCCATTGTTTTTTATCTTTTTTCCTTTTGGTCCTGGAAATAGTCTTCCCCGTTTTTCCCGCCGCTGGGGAAAAAAATCCAAAAGGATGTGCTGCCACCACCCTTTTTTCACGTAGGGATGGGTTTTTGGGCCAAATTGGGGGGACCGTGCCCGGTTTTTCCTCGGGCCCTGCTTTTGGGGATCCAAAGGCCAAAGGTTTCAATCTTTGGGGGCATCCGCCCGAGGGGTTTTTTTTTTTCTCATGGTCCCGAGAGTTTCCCCCCCGGTGCCTTTTTGGGAAACTCCCGGCAGGTTCCATTTGCCTTTTAAATGAGGGTGGGTTTTCCCTTTTTGGCCCCCTCTATCATTTCAGGGCTGATTGGTTGGGGAGTGGTTACAGAGGGTGCCCTTTTTCTTTGGAAGGGTTTTCCTCTTCCCAGAGAAAAAACTGGAGTTCTTTTTAGAGTGGGGAAAAACAGGTCTTTGGGTTACCCCCTTCTGGGGGAAGTCCCTTTTCCCCCGATCGCTCCTTTTTTGGGGCCGGGCGGGGGGTCACTCTAGGAAGATTTTCCGTGGTTCCCAAACTTTTTCCATTTACGGGAAAGATGGGTGGCCCCTGTGTTTATTGGGGGTTCCAAAGTTTCCCGAAATTTTTTTTTCCCTTCCCCCGATCCGTGCCTTGATACAGTCTGTCCGGAGGTTTACGACCCCCAAATTTCCCTGGCTTTTTGGATTGGTTTGTGCTCTCACAAGGGACTCCCTTTAATGTGGGACCCTATATATAGACAGGTTTTTTGGGCCCTTTCCAAAAAAATGTCTAATTAAATGAATTTTTCCCCCGGTGGCTC